GAAACCCGAACCAAGTTCGAATAGAAAGAAATAGCCTAAGTTTCGAGACTAGCTCAGTCCCTTGGCCACGGGCGACTATGGGTTGGGCGAAACTTCTTTGTCGTCTTCATCTATATTATCTTAATGATTTTCAACTTAATTTTCATCAAGGGTATGTACCATATCCAACAACTACTACCGCGATACATATTTAAAATGATATACAATGCACTGGGGAAATCCGCACTTCAATATGAAATAACAGTTTACGGGCACTGTGCCAAGTGTTTTCAACTAAATATAGAATTGATACAAAAAAGATAGTTGGGAATATTGAATACCGAAGGCGAAGAAATTGGTCTCCCAGATTCTACGCATAAAAAACCAAGGATTTTACGTTTCAGAGATCAAACGAAGTATGATATTATTATAAAACATTTTTTGAACAACAAACTTTGGCGGGAAATTGAAGAGATAATGAAGTACCACCGAAAACACATAATATAAAAGTGAAGAAAGGTAAAAAACGCAGGCGAGCTGGTGAATGATATCCATAGTAACCCTGAGATGTAGGAAAATAAAAAAACGGACAGAACAACGAAGTCTTTAACACAGCTTAAAATTTATTTAACAACTATCGTCTTATATACATACTTATATTGGCATGCCCTGTTGTTTTTAGTTATCTGTGCATTAAAATACAGAGGCTCTTCTCGCGTGTCACGCACAAACCATTATTGGCTTATGTGGGGTTATATTGCATAATTTGCAAAGAAAGTAAATAAAGATGTTTTATATTTTAGACAAAACCCCGAGACTGGAGGGGGGGGGGGGGGGAGTACAACACGTCACGAAGTGTTGTGATGTCCTTCCACCCCCCCCCCCCCCTCGAGTCTCGGGGTTTTGTCTAAAATATTAAACCTTCACCAGCTTGTTTGCGTTCTAACGTTTTGTTGGTTTATGTTTTGCATTGTGGTGTACGTCAGAAAGTTGTGAATAGACACACCTTTCACCACCAAACTGCACAACGAAAATAAACCTGACAATAACTTATTTAAGAAATAAAGTCTTCATGCTCATTGCTACGAATTTAAATATGGTTATATTTTAATATTTGATGCACACGTCTCCTCATTCTATAGACAGAAAAAAAAAGCCGGAGCAAAAAACTTGCGGAAGAGTGTTATATTTTATTTATCATTAAATGTATTAAGTAATATTAATGTCACCGTTACATTATGTTTCCTGGACAAGGATGCAGGTGCAGGTACAGTTTATTTCTCTTGCACCGTTAACGAGGAATTGCGTCGTTTCAACTTAGCAAGTGGTGCCAGCTAGCTACAGGTACTCTTGCGGAAAACGGGGCGGTCTGAGTAATGCTTCGGACTTTTGTTTTATGTTTGTCGCTATGACAAAAATGAAACGAAAAAAATAAATTTCAGGGAATACTTCCAACAAGAGGAACGCTTCTTTCAATGGAATTTCGTCAATTTCAGATAAGCATAAATGGCAATGCCGCCTCGTAAACCATGACAATACCAGACGAATTGCGGATCTGCAAACCAATTGCACGATTTTACTCATATGAGGCAATATTGATATTGTAAGCGCTCCTAATTTAAAGATGTGGACTAGATTCATCATTTTTATTGCTGATCGAAGAGTCTTACTTCAAGGTACTCAAATAACGGGAAAAATATTTCAGTACTATACTATTGATTTTATATCATTGTTTTTATAAAATATAAAGTCTAAATGCTCAAATAGGACGGAACAAAAGTCTCGAAACAAAACTTATCAGTTCGTACGTTTGAGCTTCTATAAAGACATCTTTATTAGCAAAACTATGTATCGCAACAAAACGTTTTTGTTTTGAAGGTTTTCTTTTTATAAAACATTTTGAATATTATTTTGTAAATTCTGCTCTTGCATTGCTCTTGCTGAAAATAATTTTCATATACAACAACACAACAATTGTTGAGCGGGTAATACTTTTTGAAGAATGTAACGATGATCTTACCTTTATCTAAACCTATGTTGGTTGCATAATAAAATCATTATACTCAAATAAAAAAGGCGTTGGAGCTGAAGATGTTTACTGAGATCGGTACTGTCTTAATAATATATCTCGCGCAAAATTATTGGGATTTTTGTATTACAATTTAAAATGTTCGCGAATTGAATTTGTACCGAATACACAAATTCTGAAGGTGGAAACTTAATGCATAAAAAAAAGCATCCTATACTTCACTCGTTGCTTAACATCTCCGAATTATTTGTACTCCTGAAAATAATTTCAAATACTGTATTGGTTTCTGAGTACATCCGTTCAATTTAAAAGTCGGTTGCTCTCGCAGAACTTTGTTTTTATTTTGGCGTCCATAGGCGTAATACAATTTCTTATGAGAGTCTCTCAGGTGGCAAATGGAGCAAAACATGATCTGAGTCGCTTTTACACGCGAATCTGTTTGAAATTTTGAAGGGTGAGCTTAAACTTGGAGAAACGAGCGAAGAGCGCACGCAAGTGAACGAAACGCCTGACTAACAACTTTGATTTAGTGCACGTCTTAATAAGCGTAATCGTCTTCTTCAGACGCTGTTTACATATACAGAATAACTAGTATTTACAAACTAATTTACGTAAGGAAATTATGCAAAATGATATTTGCCGCCACAACATTTTAAAAGAATTATTTTGGTGTGGCAAACAACATGCATTGTCTTTCTTTGGTGCGGATATTGTTGGAGGACGTGCTATCACAATCATCTTAGTGGGTGTCGAGTTATATGGGAGTGGCATGCGGCAAATACTGTTTATTTTGGTGAGAATAATGTTGGACGAGACGCCAACAGGTTTCTCCAACACATTCGGTGCCGAAGGTGCTGCCTGCCGCCCCGGCCAGTTATCGAAGACTGCGGCATCTTCGCCGCTCGTAAAGGGAGTGAGTAAACTGTGTTGAGACTAAGGAAAGCAAGGAGGCCTCGGTTTTGGGGAACAGATTTTGTCTAGGTATTTCCCTTCGGAGAAAAACGCGGCCTCGCCGGGATTGAAACTTTTTTTTTTTCTAGAGTGAGAAAGAAGGGCTAAAGAGGTTTTGACGAAATAATTTTATGTGAAATGATTCAATAATTTCACTGCCGAATCGAGACATATGCCAGCCGAGGATTTTCATACGTTTAAAATTAGGCTCACACAAGAGGCGATTTTTGTGCGGGAACGATTACGCGATGCGCGGAGTCCGGTGACGGGTCTGTGAGCTCTTTAGCGTGTTCGCGGAGCCCTTTTATGATGTCGCTTTAATGCATTTCTGTCGTTACAGTGCAATAAAATAGTTTATGTTTCTAGCAATCTCCTCGTAAAATATTGTAATTAGGTATGCACGTTAAAAGGAAATGTCACTTGCCTAGATATTTAAATTTACATACGAATAAGTACGCATTATTTACCGGTGCAAGCCGTAATACTGTTCTGTCTTAGAGTTACTCTGCAAAGGCATTCAACTCAAAATAAAATCTAGGTCGTAATTAAAGAGTTTCGGCCCACCAAAGTGGTGCATTTTATTTTCACATTAATTTTTGATGTACATATTTCGATGCATAGCTAAAAATAATCTTAGATTAAATCTATACAACCACCAATGACCGCGCTTTCATTGTATTCACCTGTTCGTTATGTGGAGTCACAAATAATGCAATAAATACCCCTTCATAAATTTTTGCTTACCTTTGAATTGCAAAGGATTCTAAATACATTTAAAAGTAAGTGAAATTCTGAGTTCTTGCGTTCGGTTGAAAAATTCTTTAAGCTCACAGCCTTCGCCCTTGTGAGTTTGCCCCAACCGTGACCCCACCATAAAATTTGTTATTTGATCGTCTTTCATAAAACATACGATATCATCTCCGTATATAAACCGAAGTATCGATGACCAAAATGTTTTTTCTCGGGTTGAAACCATAGCTTTCCCAAACAGCGCTTGACACAAGTTACTGCTTTATGCAAAGGAAGAACCTTTACCAAAGCCACAAACTATTATGTATTAAAACTCTTAAGTAGACATCCGATGTCCATATTTCCCATGTAGCAGACTGTTTCACGCCAACAACAACTGAATATTTTAATATAATTTTAAGTTCAACAAATCCGTAGCAACCTATCCTTTATAGCGAATTTGTGAACAAATAGTTTTGTTTCCTGAGTTTAATAAATATGAACTAGCACTGGTATTGGTTTACTGGACAACTGGTATGCAAAATTCAGAGTATATTTTTAATAATTTGACTTGTAAATATCTTTTCTAGCGAGGGGTCATGGTTTGTGTCGCAGCGCCGCAAAAATAAGAAGTTAATATGCGTAAACGATTTTTTTCATAAAACTCCTGAACAATAAGACAGCTGATTTTGACATAGCATTAACAACAAACAAGCCTGATGTAGAATTTTCAATATAGCTTTTAGTGGCACGGCTGGATGCCTGGTCTTTACGACTACTGACGCTCCAGCCGGGTCTTCTGTAATCTCATAAAGTGATTTGTATACGTACAAAGGTAAGTATAGAGAGCTAGAGAGGTAACGGGAGCACCGTAGTTAACAAAAAGATACACTCACCATACAATATACCCGTTCTTCTTTCAAAATCACTAATACTGCAAGTATTGGGGATAAAACAGGCTATAGTGAAATTATGTTTTATGGGCTCCACTTACCTTTACATAGGACCGGGAAAATTCAAATCGTAATATTAACATACTTGACAAACATAATCCTAATTTAAGAAATAAAAGCATAATTTCCACGAAATATGATTTGTTTTATTGTTTATGGCAGAAGTACATGAAATGATATCATAATTATGTAGCTAGTATGAATAGAAAATTAAAACGGGACAAATGGTAAAGCCTTGACGAATATATTTTTGGAGTGGCAAGCATTATGATCTGCTGCAGCTTTGTGCATGGAAGCCTGAACATTTGCGGGAGGCATATATGCTTCTGTCTGTACGTCAAACATCAAAACCTCTTTCACACGATGTAGCTCTCATGACTCGTAAGTGTCTTGTTTCCGTGATCTTGAGGATGGTTACAGGAGGCAGCTTTCAAGAACACTGTTCTATCCTGACGCAATTTTTCTTGACGTCCCTGTAGAGTCCGTCAGCGCAGTAGCATCCATAGTTGCAGTCAAGGGTGCATCCATTGGAAGCCACGGGGTCTTTGCAGGTTAGTTCAGCGCATGAACTCCCGACACATTCTTTCCAGACTTCGCCTTCCACGCAGGTCTCCGGCTTAGGGTGACTGTGATCTCCTGGGCGAAGAAACGAAGTTTAATGTGACGTAGGCGGTTGAGACCAAAGTATGTTACTTCGTTGAATCATCTTGATCTCTGATCATGGTGGGTAAGATACTTAGGTCGTTACAAATACGCCAAGATATTTATGATTATGCTTATTTACTGATACCCAACAACCGCAACGCGCATACTTAGTGGTGCATCAGGACACAGACAAAACAAAAGCATACGCGCATTATGCGCATGCGTTTTAAGCTGTACAAACCAAAATACCAAATAAAGTGAGAAAAAACTCAAGCTAAGCTAAGACATATTTCACATTACTAAATTTTTGAAATGGCGTAAAGGCATAAAGATGTCAACGAAAATAACAAAATGCAATTAAATAATCTTCAGTTTGGCTGAGAGCAGGATGTGGGAGCGCCCACCAACAAACAGCAGTTCCACTGACATCAGATTCACTGTTCCTTTGCATCACTGTTATCTTTTTCATTGTAAATTTTGATGGGTAATTTTTATAACTTTGTGATTTACTAGATTTTGATATATGTATATTTTGTATATCTTGTATTTCTGTGCAGCAGTTTTTCCACCATTGTTTTCTTGTTTTATGTGCAACCATTGTTTTTTGAAGCGTTATTTATGTTTACCGCCCACCCTGCTTGGATATGGAAAGGTTCGCAGTATGTGCTAAATAATAAATTCGAATATAAAAAAGAGCTTGGTGAAAGGGACGAGTGGGCAGTACCAGGGCGTGCACGAGACACAGGTATAAGGCCATCCAGGAGCCGAAAATATTTTCCTCACTTTGGTAGCGAGAACCCCTTTTAAAAATTGCGTAAGAGCTAAATGGAGTAACTCTTCATTGTTGAAAATATGGTGCACCTGAAGTTTCGATTATGATCATGTAAAAAGATGTTAGAATCGGGTGAGCCGCTCAAACGCTGTTTTTCTCGCTTTGCTCGGACGGGACCTGACCGCTCTGACGGCAGATTCCCAGCCCTCGGCGCCTGTATAGTGCGGGTTACACCATTTGTTTTACTAGTCGCGCACGCTTTTTGTACCTTCCATGTCTTTATATATGCCCCACCGTGAGTTTGCATGACCGTGATCGAAACATCACGTGATCCATTTATTCAGCCACCGAAAGTTACAGCGGCGCTCTTATTAATTTTGTTTCGCGCGATCACCACCATGGTTTTATACACGGCGTGTGGCTGGCCACAATTGAATTTGTGAAGACGCCCTGAAATACGCCCAGCCCGATTTCGGCAAATGGCGCTTCCTCGTTTTCCCCCTATCCTTCCCAATGAATGGCCAGCCTCTCTCTATATACGCCCCTATACTGACATCAAGTACCAAAAAGACACACAACAATTTACAGTAGATAGCAGGCATTTTGAAATTTAAAAGCGTGTGCATGTACACGAGCTTATAAATGTGTATTTTTAGAAATCGCACCTATACCCCGCTTACGTAGCAGCCAGTTACAGCTATATTAACTAACATAAAATGCATTATGAACAGGCATCGAGTCTCGACTTTCCCGTGCCAATTCACAGCGATTTACGAAAGTACATCCGCACATGATGAGGCACAGATTACGTTTGAAGCGTAAGCGGTCAAATGACATTGGGCAATTGGGTTCGACGCTTACGTATAACCATTAGGGTGTAAATTAAAAAAAAAACGCCTGCTTGCTTTCTCCTTTTTGTGTGACAGAGGGGCGATCGATACCATGATTGAAACTGTGCCCCATAAAAACCTCTGACACCTCTCTCGTATCCAATATGTGCCCGCACTAGGTTCTAGTGTTACTACCTCAAACTTCTTACACGCAGTAATGAGGTCTTGGCCCAACAGGCTTATCTATCGTTTTTATGTGATTCACTCACGTTTTCCTGGACAAATTCTCCGGTGTCTTTTGTTCAAAACATATGATGCGCGAACAAATAAAGTAAGGGAAATTGCTTATATATATATTCTGAAAGGCCTTTAGAGGAATGTTATTCATAAAATGGACTTTAATTCATATTGGCCTGGTGATTGGCACATTGGGCAAATGCAACAAATCATATCACAGGCTTGAAGCTACGTCTCTCGGAAAACAGCTCAACCTGAAATCATGCGATGGTTCTCATACAGGTTGTGAACAAGTTAGACCTTTTTTACTTCATTTTTAACAGACACAGAGTTACAGGACGTCAGAATTGCTTTCCATATATTGTTTTTGCAAAGCAGTTTCGTGTATCGATTCGCTTTTTAAGGGAACTGTCGTACTTTTGAGCATTCACTACTAATTTGTTACCGAGGCAGTACAGGCTCAAAGGTCGGTACTGTTTGAATATGTTTTGACCCGGCGCGTGATGTTTTCTTTTTATCAACCAAAACAGAAGAACAAAATTTTGTGTGGTCCATAATCGAAAAGATTTCGCTCACAAAAATTTGAAGTATAGCACAGGTAAAGAAAAAAGGAATTAAGAGAATTATTAAACTAACATGCCTGGCTAAGCAGTATTTATGTTCAAACAGAATATTTCCCTTCAATGTGGTGCAGAGTCCACCATCAGAAATTATTAATCAATATTGCTCATTCGCGAAACTCAGATTTTTTTAACGTAGTAACAGCTCTTTTCAAAAAAAAGCAAGCGCACACATACAGCAACGACTAGTGGCTTTTTTGGTTCATCTCGGAAAACGGAATATGGAGCTTTTACTGGAAAGTAGTAGCACTTTTCAGATCTAGTTTTCTTCACAATATAATGCAAGCTCTGTATTAATAATAAAGGTTAATTAATTTATCTAGTTAATTTTACATGAAAAAACAATTTTGCGCTGAATAACAAAGCTACTTAAACATGCAATTTATTCCGAGTCAGAATATAGTATATTTCCCAGCGAATATGAAGAGATGCTATAATATTTCTTAAATACTGTGCATTCGAACGCGTAAAATCAGTTATCGTTTCCGATTGAAAGCACAGACATATGTGGTTACCTACGGTTTAGTGGAAATGCATTGGCGTACCTGGTTCCCCGGCGCAGACGGCTGCGACTGTCAGCCAGAAGCAAAGGGCTTTGAGGAGGTAAGTATTCATGCTTATCGTTTCAAAGCTAGATGACACTTGCTTGCCTTGAAGCGTACGCAAACACAAGCTTTCTATGTCGATAGGTACGCAGCTCACTAACAAATATTACGATGCTTTCAGGTCGCCATAGAGAACGTGTTTGCCAATGTGCGTCACGCCGCGCGATTCGTGTTTTACACAATACCTGTAGCTTTCGTAGCTTCAAGGACGGCTTGTGTAATAAGGGACCTTAGGCGAGGCAAGAGTTGTATTCGTGAGACTGGAGCGGCGGTCGCACGTGTGTTAGTTACGTGGACCATCAAGCAGCAATTTCCTTTTAACTTGTTAATGTAGGTGTGTTAATGATATGGAGTGAGTGAAATCATCAACTGCAGACTGAAGCGCATCGTACGAGCTGGAAGCTAGAGGAAGAGATATTAGGTAATGATTATATTCGACTTGCATTGTTCCTTATTCTGAATGTTAAAATTTAAAATTCATTTGTGCAGTAGCACATAAACATTGTGTCTGTATATTTTTTTAACAAACCTGCGCACCAGGTAAAAGTCAAAACATGCAAAAATATACTTTTAGACGGTGTTTAAATAGGCGTATGACAAGTGCGTGGTGAACAAGAAAAACATTGCAAGTGAAAACATCAAAAATATATTTTTAGAAGGTGTTTAAATAAGTGTATGACAAGGGCATGGTGAACGAGAAAAACATTGCTAGTCAAAGCATCAAAAATATATTTTTAGAAGGAGCTTAAATAAGTGTATGTCAAGAGCATGGTGAACGAGGAAAAATTGCACCTAAAAAAGTGTGGGACGTTTTCACGATATAAACATCAAATAATCAAGAGCTCTAATTACTCAAGAACACAGAGAAGTCCAGCTATTAGAAACGCATTTGATTATTTAATCGCGAATATACGCGTAATAATGACGAGCAATATTTCAATAACACGGCAATATGCGTTCTTAGCCGTGGTTATTCTTTAATATTAATTTTTGAGATGAGTATTATTAGTGGTGTAGATGTCGATTATAATCATCTGATCAGCGTCCAAACGTATTTAAAGGTGCCGACTATAAAAGCATATGTTTATTAAATTCTGTTTTGAAAGTAACCGAAATTCAAGAATCGCGAAAAATTAAATATCGAGTAACAAATTTAAGACAAAAGTGAGGTGTTTTTTTTTCAGTTTTTTTTTTTAGAACGCCTTTTGAACTCGGCGTCCTCAAAATATTAATTTTATTTACTCGTCCCTAATTGAAGTTTTTTTTTGTGTTTTAGATATGCTGAGTTAATAGGGCAAGAACTTTGCCGACAAAAAATGCACTCCGGTCTAGACGGGAAGGAATTCTTCAAGACACGATCGATACAGGTTTGGACGCCTGTGTTGAATCATCACGCACATATTTATGCTGAATAATTTGTGAGCTTAGTGGTTATTTCTTTGCGCCTTCTGTGAAAAAGAGCTTCGTAAAAAATTTAACGCGAATTCCTAGGCATTTCTTTTTTTTTTTTTCTTTTTGATACGTGAAACGTGTTAGCATCAAAAGCGTTTAGCGCACCTCGTGGCAGCGCCGATAAACAATCGGAGTCACGCAATGTAAATGTTCCACTAAATTTGGCGGGGAAGCTGAATTGGTGCATTGGTCACGTCCGGTGATGTCAATTTTTTCGCTAACTTTATCGGGAAACCGAATTTATGTTTGGATCACGTGGCGTTAATTTTCCCACTAAATCTATCGGGGAAACTCAGTTTGTGTATAGATTACGAGTTATAAAGCCATGTAACGTCACTTTTCTCCCGAAACTTAGCGGGGAAACTCAATTCGCGTTGAGATCACGTGACGGCAATCTTCCCGCTAAAGCTAGCGGCGAAACTTAATCCGGCTTTACGAAATCCGGAACAACTAGCCAAACAACGTGTCACGTTAATAAACATATAGAAAACGAAAACTCCTACTAGTCAATAATTTGTGCATTGCGAGCAGAAACATTTAACGGTAATAACGTGACAGAGGAAAATGAAGCTAGTGAGACAGTTGCAAGCATCGCGTTTCCTAAATGTAACTAAAAGGACTTGTTATAATGCACGCGAATGTCGATATCCTTAAAAGACTCACGCAGATAGTTCGTATCCTTAATTAAAAGTAATAGTCATAAACACGTAACATTGAGTACGTGAAACATGATGTTCAGTGCAACAGTGAAGACATTAGTGTTTTACCTGTATATGGCCTTTTCCTGGCTCTCTGCGTATATTACATTGAACGATTTCCCCAGTGCTCTGGGGAAGAGTAGATGTAAAGGTCACTTTTAAGTATACTGGAAGGGATCTCTTATGTCTTCATGGCAGACATGGGGAATAATTCGTTAACTGTAACGGATTACTTGTAATCCGTTTTTTTTTTTTAAGTATTTTGTAAAAGACGCTGAAATTTTCTTGCGGCAGTAATCCGAAATGTAGTTTCGTTACAAATGTTGCTAACGGATTACTTTAATCACTCGTTATTCTTAATAAGAAATATGAACGTAAAACAAAAGATGGAGCAATACGAGTGTTCGACCACGCGCTCGACAAAAGCTAAAAAAATGAGCCTATGTATTCTTCAGCACTGCATACAACTATACTCCGTGCATGCATAAGCTTACAGTGCGTCAAAGATGCAGGCACGAGACTGCAGCTTTCAGGCGTTGCGCTCATGCTTGAAAGGCTCCTGTCACAAGGGAGTTTTCTGGGACCGGTTCCTTTCCTTCGAATCTCCAAGTGGATGTAGACGTTCCTACTGAGCGCGCGTACCACTAGATTTGTCTGCAGAATTTAAGGGAACTTTTCCGGTCGACGGTAAGCTAGAAGGATAACGGGAGCGGCTGCAGTTTTTGCTGCCTTGTCAGCTTAGAGGTGCACTGCGTTCATCTCGAAGCTCTCTTAAATAGAGCATTTTATTTTCACAATGTCTACCATAATACGGGCGTATGCAAGATGGAGAGTGATGCTGTAGAACAGTTTTAAAAACATCAATACTGTTTCTAATGTTTTCTTGAGAAGGGTATGGGTACAGTAACGTGCAAGTAATTCGCAACTTAACGATTAAAGGAATCTGCTAGTTTTCAGCGAAAGTAATTTGTGCTATTATTTCATAACATTTGAGGCTCGGTAATTTGAAATGGTAATTCATTGCATTATTTAAGTAACGGGCAGAAGTCTGCTTTAAAGTTGCTTTGTGCCTTCTGCCTCGTTTAAAGGAAAACTGATCCGGTTTTCTGTTTGCGTAAAACACTTGTATTGTCTTCATCTGCCCTCCAGGATCAGGAATATCCAAATTTCATTTTAGATTACTGCGCCATGTAGCCACAACGCTTTCAAAATAGCACTGAAGAACCTCCTTCGCGGTGCGGTTGGCGGGAGAAGAAAATCAATGACATGTCATAAATAGGTCTCAACGTTGTCACGCCCTCCGCAATCTTTATCAGAGCAGTCAAAAACGCTGCACACGTTCTCTCAAACGTGACACGCGCAAGTTTGTTAAAACCTTTTGGTGTGACGTCACACTGATTGGTTGGCTTTCCGGTTTTTCTAGCGTGTAAGAATGCCCTGGTGTCAAATTTCATTTCATTTCATTTTATTACCTCAAATTCACTCGACTTGCAAGCGCGTTACATGAGGGGGAAATTTGTAATATACATTTACAACTTCAAAACAGTATTTTCGCGTATATACTATTTACATCTTAGAATAACACGCACAAAAATGCACTAGGGAAAGTGTGCACACAGAAGGGCAGGAAAAAGAACACATACATGATATAACATTGCAATTTCATATATTGCGACATAATTGAATGGTTGCAAAAGAAAAGTTCACGCGAAAAAGATCAAGATGCAAATACACAAATATACAACAGCGTGCAAGGCAAATAGATGTCAAGGTAGAGACTGATCACTGACTGCTTATTCCAAGGTACTGTTCACATCTTAATTTATATGTTGCCAGGTTAGCCTCCGACACTACTTCGTATGGCATATCGACCCAATCTCTAATGCACATGACAACAGGCGATGAGGAAAATAATAGTGTGCGTGATTTGGGCGGCTGAATCTTGAGTTGGTGATCCGTTCTGGGTAATATATACTTGGAATATTCAAAATCAGGGGACAAACATACAACATAATTCCCCTTAAACTCGCCTTTTTTAAAAAAGAAAACCTCCCGAACTTTCATTAATTGTAAGTGTAAGTGTAATTTATCTGTTTAATCAATTAAGTATAATTGATGTTCCATAGCATTTCAAGTGATATCTCGCAGCCGACTCATAACTTCACCAGGAGGCTAACTGACATATTTTTGTTTAGATGACGTTCCCGCTCAATCATGAATTCACTCAAGTCGATAAAACGACAGGAAGATTGGTTCTCAGCCCAGCATAAGAAGAGGACAAGCTTTCTTTGTTGCTGGTGATTTATTTATATTGCAAATTCGATGATGTCGTCCTTGTCGCAACATTAAAACTCTAGAGTCAGTTGCGTGAACAATGCCAAGTGAGAAGTTGTATGAGGCATACAAAAATGCTTTATAGCAATAATCAACCTCTATTGTATAAGTAAACTATATTATGCTTACTAGGGCCCCAAAACTCGCCAAACAGAAAATTTGGGCCGAAACTGACGGAGCGCACCAACTGGCCTATCATGACGATGACTTCGCGATTTTTTCGCCGACGTGCAATCGGCGACCTCGACGGACTTTCGGCTTCACCTTAGTGTCTGAGAAGTTTAGGGCCCCCTGCATGGGGGGAGGGGGGGCTTGAAATCGTTTGTATAGTCACGGATAGCGTCATCGTGTGCGAACGTAGAAATGGTGGTAATGTTTAATACCTGCCTGTAATTCATCAACTAGATATACTGTCCACTTCAATAAAAACATACGTTCGCGAAAATAAGACGCAACACTGCAAGACTCGCACTTCGGCACCTTAAACATACAATGTATTTGTTTATATGATAAATAATAAAAGAAC